CCCGCGCCCTCAGCGCGTCCTGCCCCGCTTCAGTGCCAGGGCAGCGGAAGTCCCGCCAGCCACCGGTTTTAATTACAGGTTTCCGTGCCACCGGAATCCAGTGGCAGAAACATAACGCAATAACAATAATTATTAAATAAAATGGCCAAGAGCTCTGACATTCACTCTCCGCACACCGAACAGCAAATGTTTAGTTTTTCACAAAGGAACTGGTTTCTTTCAGACCAAATCAATTTCTTGAACTTACTTAACGTAAGCCTGCGCAGGAAGTTGCGCAACAAGTGTGCCAAGGTTTTCCTCAACGCTGCTTCTTAATTACCACAGACTGTAATAAATGACTTCGGGTGGCAGGTCACTAGCCTGGCAATAGCCACCAACAGGAGTTTGAGTACTAGACCAAGGCTCTGCCTCTTTTCTGGATCCTCAGCCCCAATAAACGATAAACACTTTTTTTTTTTTTCTCTGATGTTAGGCTGTAGGAAATTTGCAATAAAAAATATCAGTGGAAGATCTCATTGAAAGGGACGGTCATTTCATTATACAAAAGGCCTAGGTAAGTTGGTTATGCCCAGTTTCATAGACACAAGCTGTAGGTGTTCAAACCGTCTGGCCAGGATCTTCTGGGTTGCTGTTCACCAGTGACAAGACGCTGATTTTGAGATATGTCTTGTGTGTCACTGGGAGTGGTCTTTTGCTCTCACTGCCACCTTCCTGCTGGGCTGAGAGGAGAAGAGGCAGCGCGAGAGATGCGCAGCGATGTCGCTGCCGTCTTCCTGTCGTTCGACTACAGGATCTTCCACTGACTAATTATCTCTGTTGTTGTTCTGTCAGGCTTGTCTCAGGCTTGACAGAAAAACCCATTTCTCAGACTGGTTAATTACAAACAGCCTCCTTTGCAATCAGCACAGGACGCTGGGTGTCTGCTCTTTGCTGTTTCTTTAGCTGCTTTCACACATACACGCACAAACGCGCGTGTTCATACGTCATTCAGACCAATCGTAATATTTCACTTGCAAGGCTCTGGGAGGTCTCCTGTTTGAAAACATCATTGCTCATGGGAAAAATACTAGGCTTAGCAGAGTTTCAAGCCCCTGCCAAAATTACTTGGCAAAGATGCCCAGACAGTGGCCAAGAGCCCACATAAAACCCGAAACCCTTTCTTATTTAAGACGCAGACGCACAGGAGTATTTGAAGCACTGCTATCAAACCATCCTAAGGAACGTGGTGGTGTTTGCGTCTTTTCCGAGTCCTCCCAGGCTCACCTGTGTGTCAAACGTGCCACCCTCAGCACCTCAGCGCACAGAGCAGTGGGTTTTGGCCTGTGGAAAAGTGAAAGACCGTGCTGCCCCAACCAGATCAGATCTAACCAGTTGCTGGAGGCTGGGGGTCAGGGCAGCGGCTCTTCCAGCCAGATACAGCTGTCCTCGGAGACGCCTTCTCCACCACCGTGCTTGATTTAGTGGAGCCCTTCCTTCATCAGCTAACAAACCAAAGCCCAAGCTCCACCACTACCTTTTTTCAACATGTTCTTCTATCTCTTAGGACCAATGAGTAGGTCTCGAGTCACTTCGGTTTCCCTCTGCCAGCCTTCCCCTTTTTGTTTTGAGGAGAGAACGGATTCCCTCTAAAGTAGGTCAGATCTCTAGCAACTAACATACTAACTGTTGTTTGAGAGCGACATAACTAAACCCTTCAGACACACTTTTCTTTTTATGAGAAAAATGTGTTAGCAAGCTTGTGTGCACGTGCCTTCACTATAATTGAGGGGATTTTAGAGGGAACTCCAGAGAACTGTAGACTATACACAACTTCAAATAAATTTGCCCAGAAGTGCCCTGTGCCGTCAAAGTGACAAAAGCAGGCAAGTCCCAGGGACATCTTCCTGCCCTTATTTTGTGAAAACAAAGAGGATGTATGGGGGACTTGGGCAATATTTTATATTAGCTTACCCTGTAACTCATGTCTACTGATGTGGAAAAGTTCTATATTTATCCAATTTTAACTGCTTCTTCAACAGGCTGGGGAAACTTAGAGAAGAAAGAAGAAAATGGTGAAAGGGCCTGAAAAGTTAGAGGGCTTCTGTGGAAGAGAGGGAGGAAACTAGAGCTGAGCAAGGAAAGGATAGTTCTGAAGCCGCAAATGAAGACCAGAAGTAACCTCAGGGCAGATAGAGGCAAATGGAAAGTACTCCAAACAGACCAGCAATGGCACAAAATTAAGAATCTTTTTATATTCACAGAAGAACAAGACACAAAAATCCCTTTCTGCCCTATGCTGTGCTCTCATGTCAACCATTTCTTTTTACAAGCACCTGGCACAGCTCAGCAATTTCTACCAAGTTTTTTAAAGTGTTTTGCGCACCAGTTTCTTCAGAGCTGGTCATGGATGAGCACTCTGGCGACTCTCTGGCACGACAAAGCCTTTGAAGTTAGTGAGAGAAAGAAAGTAAGCAGAGACCTCTTGTCCTAAAATCCAGAGAGCTGTTCCTCTCCTTTAATTTCTTCACCTGCAGTGTGCCCTGTGTTCTGGTGGCAGAGGCAATCTGAAATCCCTTCTGTCACGAATGAGGTCTATTCTTTATTCTTTCCTTTGCCTTCTGGGTGGACGCACTCTGCTGATAATGTATTTCTTGGTTTTTCCCTTGATTTCTAGATTAATCATCTCTTTAAGCAGAACCGTTTGAGCCAGTAACCAGTGAAACTTGTACAGGTTTAAGCACAACAAAAGGACATAGCTGTTGCAAGCTGCTACTATTTAACAGGGAAAGAAAATAAAGCGTTAGAGGATGACTGGAGTCAGTAAGACAGATTCCAGTAAAACCATACCCACAAAGTTTTACAGGGCGTGTTGCCTGCTGGAGGCTTACATCCGGACTGCTAGGCTCTGCTGATTCAACTCCCTTCTGGCTCTGCTCATATACATTAGCATATCCTCCTTAATCATCAAATTCAAGCAGTGCTTCCTCAAGTCATGAATGCTCAAACAGGTCTACTAGGAGGTCCAGCCTGGTCCAGAGGATCTGTCACCAGCTGTCATTTTGCTAGTGATTCAACCACATGACTGTGGACAAACCACATCTCTTCGCTCTCCCAGAATTACTTCTATAAAACAAGAAAATGCTAAATGGTTTCCAGTTTGACATCCTGGCCAATTTTTCCAGTGCAAATTGCACCGTGATTCCCAGCAGAGAAAGTTAACTGTGTGGGTGGGGATAAAATCACAGAAAATTTCTGTTTTCCCTTTACCTGGCAAGAAAGGGCTGGAGACGTTCTACATTTTGCTTTGCTTTCCACCTGTAGAATAGCTGTGTAAAACGGAAGACACCTAGGTTTAAACTTTGCTGTAAAAGGAGTTTTGCTATTAGACGGAGTTAACAGGGGTGACGGTTGCTGGGCATCACGCAGCTGTGTATCTTTGGTGCATCTAAGATATCCAGGCCTAAGCTCATGTTCTCTTCCCTTCTCTCATCGCCCAGTGAAACCTGTTGGTCTTTTTGTGGTGGAGGCTGTCCATGTCTCTCTCACTGATCTTCATTTAAGTGCCTCTTCTCTGCACTGGTTGTACAGACTCTCTCAGAAGCATGCTGCATGTTACACAGACTAACAAATGTACTTGCACCCTAGACACTGCAAATCCTAGTTTCCAAGGGATAACTGGGAGAAAATCAAGTTGCTAGTCAGGAAAGAAGGATATTTTGTAAAAGAAAGGTGAGACAGCCACTACAATTTTTTATCATAGTTTCTGCCTTTCCACAGACCCTCCTTCAGCTCTTGGCACAGGCACACCAAAAGCAAGCTTGGGCATGTTAACTGAGTCTTGTTCATAAAGCTGGCTTTTGGACGCTTTAGTCTCAGCTTTTCGTTTTGTTTTGCTGCTAAAACTGGTGATGTTTTTTCTTCTGAAAGGAAATAACACAATTGCTAGGACTGAAAAAAGAACTAATTCCATTTCCTCAGGAACAATCAAAGAACACTTCTAAACTCCTCCCCGAAGAGTAACGAAAAACAGGTCATCTGCCCTGTAGGAATCCAGTACTGGACTGTTTTAAAAAAGTCCTCGAGTGAGATGTTCTGGATAAATTGAGACTTTTTCTGTCTGTATGTTTTCTGAATCCTTGGTCTGCATTTCATCATATTTTCATTTTTCCTTCTCAATCACCAAAGCTAACCGTTTACTCTTAGAAAAACTACATTTTTGCACCAAGGATAAATCACATACTTGCTGCCAGAAGCACAGAGGTGAGGCCATTCCTCTCTCCATCCTTCAGTGGGCTCTGAACCACCCAGCTGGAGTACCACCGATTGCTGTCTCACAGCATTGAGCCTGCACATTACTTCTCTTTACAATTCCCATTTCCTGGGAAAAAGTTATCTTTGAAAAGCGGCAGTTAAACCCACTTGCCTCTTCTTTTGTTGTTGTGTTTGTCTGCATATATTGGTGGCTTCCAGTCATAGACACAAATGAAGACCACACACTTGCCCGTGACTAACATGGAAAAAAATGCAGAGGTTTTCTCCGAAAAAAAAAAATTAATGAGCATTTAATCTCAGAAAACTCATTCAAGGAATGCCAGGGTGAAGCCCCTCATTGTAACCTACATGCATGGGGCATGGCAAACTTCAAGGCAAGCTGAATCGGCACATGGTTTTCAGAATGCAGGGAACAGTTGTCCTTTAAATGCTGAGCAACGCTTGGTTAAAACACCACTCAATATTGACTTCTAAAGGTCCCTTGGCCAAGAAGCCCGAGATTGGTCTCTAAAGGTCCGATGACCAAGAAACCCAGCTGCAGAAAACCCATCTCTTTCAGGAGGCAAACCTGGGCAGAACTTGTCAGCAGGATTTTGGCAGCCTAGATGTCTTCCTAGGTTCTACAAATGCCTGCCATTCCCACTTTTTCTCTAGCACACATTCTTTTATCTATCACGGGCCAGCCCGGCAGGCTGGAGAGCAGACTTGGGAACATTTCCACATTTCCTTCCCTGGTCCTTTGCAAGGGCTCTTTCTCCAGGAGAGCAAAGCAAGACTGAAACCAAACACCCAGTTCCTTCTGTCAGTCCCTTTCAACACCTTCTCCCCCAGTGATCACAGTCAGCATCTTCTGCAGGACAACACGCATAAAGTCATTTCGTCATGTTGTTCCTGAATGTCTTGGGATACAGCAGCTGTCATTTCTTGATACCTGCGGCAGGGTTGCTGGGTACCAAAAGACTATTTGAAAGTCCAGAGAGAAAAAAATGGCAATTGTGAGTTACTATTTGAACAGCAGACTCGCTGGAGGCGTTTTCACTTTCCTTCGTGATCTCTCCCACTAGAGGGTACTCTGCTATTCTAGAAGAAAGCGTCTGCACTGGGGCTGCACCGTGACGCAAGCTGTTAGAAGAGCCTTTGCAAATACAGCATGGGAGGAACATTTCTTACACACCTCGTGTAAGGATGAAGAGAGCCGGAGGGGAAGCTTTCCATCTCGAGCCGTCACTAACATAACTTTCCTTGAAGTACCGATCTTGGTACAGTTCCATATGTCTTGCTGCATCTGCAGCACAGATCTTCCTGGCTGATTACCTGTGAAATGCCAAAGTGTGTCCTGGGACACATCACCTACTCACCGGCTTGTCTGGCGCGATCCTGGCTGGAGCTTACATGGTCGCCCGCGCTCTCTCCGGGTGCTGCACAGGGGACACACGGGCTCTGACCCCAGTCCATGCTGGTTGCTGGCACTTTATTTCTCTCCCACGGGTCTCCCCAGGCACTGGCACTCAGGAACATGCACACACCAGCCCATGGTCCCGGCTCAACTGCTGGCACCAGGCCCCCATACATACATGTAAACCACCTGGGGAGTCCCTCACCCAGGAAAAGAGAAATGGAGTTTAATGAGAAGGTGGGACAGACTGTGGTGATCAGGTGTCAGGCATGGCCAGAGAAGTGTGCTGACCCCCGCCTGCATTTGTGTGACCAGACACATTTGTCCCTCCATTTTCCCAGGCTTTTTCCTCCCCAAATCCCCCTGATCTCTCCCTTTCTCACCTTTGATTCCTCCCCTAAGCATCCCATAATAAGTCCTGTGCAATCCCAAAATGCTCTTCCTTTGCATCCCATCAAGTGTCCATACCCCTTTAGGCAGTGACCCTCTCAGTTCAGAAGGTGCTCCAATGATGACTCATCTGGATGGGTTTCACACCCTGACCCCGGGGCTGAGGATCTCCTGGGACATCCCTGGGAGGGGCCTGGGCAGGGTGTCCCTTCCTCTGAGTCTTTAGTTTGTCGTTTCCACCTGCCCTTGGGCTCCTGTTCTCCTCTGGGCTTGTGGAGGTGGGCCTTCAGTGGGGTGTTGGCTCTCCTGTGCTGGGACCGGGGAGGAGCTGGGGTGGGGTGTTATTGGAACTCCCTCACCTGCCATGGCTTCTCTGTCCTCCTTGAAGGGTGTGCAGCCGAGCTCCTTGACATACTCAACACTTTCCCTCTCAAACATGCCGTGGACGTTGCTGTTCAGGTTCTCTGCTTCCTTTGCAAACAAGGACCTGCAATTGTTTTTCTCTCTCAGGTTTCTCTTCAGATGTTGTAGCCTTCTGTGAAATGAGAAGCCTGGTGTCTCCTCCTGCAAAAGACCCAGCATAGTGGTGTGGTAACCATGACAAAGCTCAACATTACTTGGCAGAGACAAGTGAAGAAGAGGGCTTACCTTCACAGCACAGGAGTCAAGAAGCTTGCAAGGAAAAGAGGGAACCTGTGGGAGGTCAGAGGGAAGGGACTAGTGGAGGTGACTTCCAGCTGTGGTCACTTACTGGTTTTGACTGTGGATGCCACCAGCCCTCCAGAGGACCTTCATGCCTGCGTGACCAGCAGGGCAGACTTTCCTGGGGAAAATTTGTGTGAGGCTGCTGGTTACAGCATCCCATATGCCCTCCCGGACATTTCCAGTACCTCTTCCATGCCTTTCCACCTAACCATCGACTAACTTTTCTCTGTCATGCTCCAGGCCTTCCCCAGCATTGCTAGAGGTGAAATGGGGCAGGTATGGTGTCATCTACCCACTGTGGATGTCCCATGCAGCAAAGACATGCCAGCAGGAACAGACCCCAGCTCTTGATGGAAGGGTTTTGTCGCATTCCTAGTAAGTGTTGCCAAGGCTTTTGAAGGATGTGAATAATTACTGGAAACCTTAGGCTTTTATGTTACCTGGTCTTCATAAACAGTGTGCTGGTCCTTTGGCGTGTGCAGGCTCATGGCTTTCTCACTTAGGTCTTGGTGTAAGTCTTTCCCCTTTACAGGTGTTCTGGATGCACTACATCTCATCAGCCTGAAAAAACCCCATTAACTAGTCACATAATGCTTAGAAACCTCCTGGCATTTAGAGTGAATCTTGCTATTTTAAAGATGAGGTTGCCACCTGGGGAAGTTTCCAGGGCAGGTGTATAAAAACACCATCAGGAAACAGAAAGGCAAATCGTAAGGAGAACACAGGCAAGCCATGTCAATTGCAAGAAAACTGAAATTGTTCTTACTTTTTCTTTTTCCTGTTGATTAGTTTCATGGTGCAGTATATCAAGATTGTTAAGAACACCACAGCTATTAAGACTGCCATGATGATTACGCTCTTCTGAGTGCCTACAAAAAGAAACCAAAAAATTCGCACAGAACATAGAGGGATGTCAACGTTTTTCTCACGTCCTCTTGCAGAGGTTGGGACTGAAGTGAAACATTCATCAGTTTGTCCTCATTTATTCTTTGAAGAAGAGAAGGGAATAGTATAACAACGTATCATTGTGGTAGGTGAGGAATTCTTTTTTAAATAAATACTGACAGTATCTCACATTTCCCTGGTATTGGGGGAACTAAAATCCAGCATTTTTTACTCCTGATCTATTTGTGTTTCTCTTTCTGTATGAAGCAGTTTTATCATGAGGAAAGGCTCGCACCCTTCCTGAACCATACCCTCCTGCAAGATCTTCCATAGGAATTATTTCTCCCCAGCATTCGACAGCCAGGGGCCTGCTCTACTGGTACCCTCCAGCTGTGGACACTACTATAGAGCTGATCACATCTGCTCTAAATCAGTGATGTAGAAATATAAACATACAGAGACATATAAACATATGTACACACAAATCTATGTAATTATTAGATATATATATATATTTGCACACATCCACCACACAAACACAAAGGTGCCACAGGAAAGAGTCTTCTGGATGGTTTCAAACCATGAAATTTTCATCTAGCACAAGGTCTGAACTCCCAGAAAAATGCCTAGTGACACCTACTTAAGTACAAGCTGCACTCTCACAGTTGCACATTCTCTCCTAAGTGCTCCCCACTACCTGCTGCACCTCTCCATACAAATGCAACCTACCTTCTCTTCCTTTTTCCAGGTAAAGCACCTTCATTTTCCTTCCCTGCGGGTGGTCAAGGAGGCAGGTCAAGGCATGGAAGTGGTTGGCAGAGAAGGTAAGTCTGTTTGCTACCTTTACTGTTCCGTTTGCGTTTTGGAAGTGGTGTATTTCAGGGGACTCATTCAGGTCTTTGTCATCCAGCCAGGTGATTTTGGGGGCAGGCTTTCCTGTTGCTGAGCAGACTGCGGTGAGGAGACCCTCGGTGAGCAGGTGGGAATCATACTCCACTGTTAGCTCAGAAACGGCTGAGAGTGAAAAGATAAGGTACTTTTTACACTCTGTGGCGAGCTGACAGTCAAAGCTGGGTGGGTCAGCTCTCTACACAGGGATTCTTATCCAAAAGCATTTCCTGGCTTATTTACATTCATCTCCTTTGAGGAGAGGTGTGGCAGTTCAGGAGACTACCCAGCAAGGACATGCTGCTGCTTGGGAAGTATCCATGCAGTGGAGGGGATAATGCCTTACTCCTGACTACATCAGACCTATGCTGAGTGCCAGAAAGTGAGAAGGTGTTAGCTGAAAACTTACTTTGGATGTTGAGGCATATATCTTTGCTGAAAGAGCCGTGGGGGAACACGTTGAAAATGCATCTGTAATAAGACTCATCCTCGAATGTGAGATTTTGCAGTGTGATAGCTGAGGCCTGCAGGGTTGCTCTGGTAAAATGTACCTTCTTCTGGAATGACCCCATTAGCCTCAGCCCATGGTTTGGGCTGTAGGTGGCTATGTTCTGGAAGGAAGACCCATCTCTCTTCTGCCAGGTGACTTGCAAAACATCCATCGAAAGCAAGAGGTTGCAATAGAAATTTGCCTCTCCACCAAGGGCTGCTGCAATAATGCTATCAGATTCCACAGCTTCCTTCAAACCTAGGAACAATGGAAACCACAGAATCAAAGCAAGAGGAGAAGAAATTCGCTCGAGGAAGGCTATAGTGCCTTGAAGCATCCAAACACAGTGTTCCCATCTTGCAAGGAGCAAGGAACTCCACCATGAAGCCATGTGGCACACTGGGAGACCTCAGACACCTTGGTCTCATGGGGGCCGTCACTTCGTTAGCTGATGCTGTACACTGCCCGTGGTGAGGAGGGAGGTGGCATGGGAACAGAGGGCAGGCAGGCTCCTTAGAGAGCACAGCAAACTCAAGCCCCAGGCTCACCTGCCTGCTTCTTCCCAGCGCGTTACTCCTAGCTCACCTTTGTCCCCCAGAGCGCAGAGGTGTCCTCTACAGACCTGACACACAGCAACCACCCAGCGAAAGTGGCTATCACTCCTGAGATCATCCCCGGTCCCCTCTCTCCGGCCCCGGCAGGGGGCTGGGGGAGGCAGAGCAGCCCAGGGCACCCCGCAGCTGGGAGGCAATGCGACCGGCTGCAGAGGGGGATGCCCCTGCCCCAGCCTCTCCCAATAGAAGCCTGCACTGCCCAGACATGTGCGCTGGAAATTCAAACCTGCCCCATCCCTTGTGCTGAGAAACTTCGAAACATTTACAGAGAAAGGGAACAGTCGGGCTAAATATACAGCTTGAACGCAAAGCCGCACTGCCCCATGCCCTCTCTGACCTGCATTTCCCCATTTTGCTGCTGGGAACCCCCCAGATTCCCAGCCGCTGCTCCAGTCACCAGCTGCTATTTTTCAGTCAGGGTGGCATCTGGGGGTCTCTGCTTGCCAAGAAAGGCTGGCGCTGCTCTGGAGTTAACCTCGCGCAGGGGAAGGGCGCTCCACTCACCCGTCGCCGTCGCCGGCTCCTCCAGCTGGCAGCCTCCGCACAGCAGCAGCAGGCAGATTTCGGCCCAGCAAAGCAGGGGGAAAAGCATCGTGGGACTCAGCAACTGCCTGGGAAAGATCACCCCCTTTCCCCACGTTCCTCAGAGGGCAGCTGGCAAGCCCAGGGGGACGGCTGAAGATTTCGCGCCTTTTTCAGAGCCCTCCTCGGAGGCCAATCAGCGGTGGCAGGGAACGACCAGCCAGGCGGGAACCATGCCCTTGTTCCCTCCTGGGAGTCAATCATTAATCATGGCAAACTGACTCAAAATAAACAGCACACCCTTTTCTTTGCCAGCAGCAAAGCTTGGTATTCCCCCTCGTGAGCCCTGTGCTGTTGGGCTCCTCTGTGAGTGTCGTCATGAGGCCGTGCACCTCACAAGGTGTAAAAGCGGGATCTTCTCCGTAAGCACGGGTGGTGTGCGCTGCCTGTGCATCACTGCCTCCGCGGCTTGCTGAGCACTGCCCCGGGCGCCGATACCAAGCTCCTCAGGGACGTGGCTTTCCTCCCCCAGACCTGGCACAGGGGAGTCCCAAGCAAGAACAGCAGATGTTTCTCCACCAATAGGGTGGTGTGGAGACACCTGCAGATGCCACCTCTTCACCGCAAGCACACCAACACCACAAGTTGGATTATGAAAGGGGACTCTGCAGAAGGCAGGCTTGGCTGAGGGCCCTCCTCTCCGAGTACATTTGCATCTCACCTCGTTCCAGAAAGGGTAAGCCAGGGGTGCGACAGTGCCTCTGTTCTCAGGGGTGAGGTCTCCTGCCCAAGAGTTTCACAGCAAAATCACACCACACAGATCCTGGCCACATGGTAATCCAGTGGTGAGATTAAGCACCGTGTGAAGTTTCTAGCTGTATTTACAGAAGGATACCCACCATACTCTATACATTTTTTCTGGGTTTTTCTGCAAGAAAGGAAGAAGGCTATTTTACAGGAAAATACGCGAAGTGATTACCATACACCTTCTGTCCGTGTTCATCTCTGCTATTTCTGAATATGACTCTTCCCTCTGTCTGAAGGGGTAGCATAATATTTTAGATTTCTTGCAGGTTCCCGTGGGTTTACAGTCCATATCCTGCCCTGAACCTTGTAGACTGATTAATAGAAAGGCAAGATGAACTCCAGAACATCCCTCCTGACACCTCTGTTAGGGGAAGGGGCTCCGTCCAGTCTCTCACTGGGCCTCACAGCACCAGTTTGCACTGCAGACAAAGAGCAGGGAAGTGAAACCAGCATGCACCACCACATCAGAGCCTTTCCACAGGGTTCCTCAGGGATTTTCATCTTCTCTCCCCCCCCCGTCTCTACCATCACTCTCTTCTGACACCAGCTCCCCTCTGTCTCCTGACTTCTCCTTCAGGCGTAAGGGGCTGCCTTACCCCAGCGGAGCAGCCAAGTGGGAGCATTCAGGACCCACCTCACCATGACTTGGAGCAAGCACCCGGGGGCCTGCCAAGGGATGCTCTGCAGTAAACCCCACAGCACATAGTGGAGAAAGCTGTGGCAACTCACTCAGGTCCCCTTTCCCAGGGTCAGAATTGCCAACCAAATCCAGGCGCTTTATTGACAAACCAAACAAACCTCAACAAAAACAAGCATCAGGGATTCCTGCAGAAGAAACTCAAGGCAAGAAAGCGAGGGCAAGGACAAGTGAGGATGCAGCTAGTGCTGCGGAGGTCACGTGGACTTTCCTGGGTGAGGAGGGCCCAAGAGCAAGTGGAAGTGGATACGCTCAGTGCACAAGGGCAGCTGCACGGGGAGGCGAGCTTGCTGCCCCAAGCAAGCACCCAGCCCTGGCTAGCACTAAACAGCCAACACAAACATCGCTGCAGTGTAGCTCTTGCATCCAAGGTACAACAGACAGAGCAGAGCAGATCTGCTCCCCTCTTGCTTGCCCCTGGAGCCACACCGGAGATGGGAAAGCAGACCCACAGACAGGCACCAGCAGAGGGTCACACATGTACAGAGCTTTGTGGAGGTGTATCTTCAGTTTCTTTCTGAAGTGAGAGGGCAGGTTGGTGCAGTCATCTTAAGTGGTACGCACTTCTCCCCTTCTAGAAACTCTTCATTATCCAGGCAGCACAATGGGCTCAGGTATTTGTATTACAGCAACAGCCTTTGCCCTCTGAATTACACTGGTTTTCACCCGAGCAAGGATCCTACCTGCCAACTGCACAGTATGTGTCAAAACACATTCCCTAATTCTCACATGCAAAATAAAAATCTGTTCAACTTCTTACACCGTTTCCCACATCCTTCCTCCCCAAGTTTTACTTTATTTTATGTAGCTCCCAAACTTTGCTCACAGAAAGAAACTGGCTGATTTTTTTTCCAGGTTTTTATCAAAGGCCCTTGAAGACCCAGTTGTTTGTCTAAAAAGAACTGTCCTATAGGACTGCTTGTCCAAGCCAGACCTCAATGCTTTCAACTTTTCAGATAAAGCAGTGTGTTTGGACTGTAAGTACTGGAGAGTCTGACTTTAATTAATTAATTCTGATTTACTTGGGGGGGGGAGTGTCTGCAGAACTGCTTTAGGATTAAATTGAGAAGAGCTCTTTCTGGAGGCCACTCTTTTTCAAGCTTCAGTTTTGTTATTGTTGCTAATGTCTAAGAGGAGAATTACTAGTGAGGAGAAAGACTGTTCATCAACAGTTTTCTAGTGCTGTATTTCCTCCCCCTTTCTGTTGGTTCATGTTTCTTGTTCTCTGTTCTGCCAGAGACCAAGGGGCACCCTGCTCCAGGCCACAGCCTGTAGACAGAAGGGTGAGGAGGAGAGGAAATGTCAGCTGACTCCTGGCTGCAAGCCCAGATGCACCGGCTGCTGAGATGAGAGGGGCAGGCATCGGCCCAGCAAACGCTGCGCAGACACTCTGAGAGCAGGTCGTCGTCAAAACTGTTCAGCAGCCTCGTTTCCTGTTGGTAGTGTTTACTTCAGTTAGGAAGTTACGGGGATTTCACGCTTTTGATCAGAAATTGACTGGGGAACGTGGAGTGCAGTAGCCAGTGCCACCTCCCTCGTGCAGCTCCAGCTCCCAGCTGCGCCCAGCCATCTCCTTCCCCAGCTGCGTTACCCGTAGCCAGCCTCACGTCATACACCAGCTGAGGGGCATAGAGAGACCTTCAGTCACTAATTAGCTCCACAGACTTTGCAAAACAGGACACTTGTTCGTGCACTGAAGTGGTACGCTTTCCAAGCATGCCCCAAATTCCCAGGCTCTTGGCATATCTTCTCTGTGGCTTGGTTGCCAAATAGGCCAAGCTTCTCAAGCCAATTAGTCCACTAATGCCCTGCATAAGTGAGAGGCCACAGGGCGGTAGAGATCCCAGATAACCCTCTCATTGCAAAGCTAATCTCCTGAGAAGTATTTATCCTGGAAGCAGCCAAATACTAAGGACTTGTTTTCTAACAACTGCCAACCTGAAGATTTCCTGGGGAAATCATTCACCCCCCC